CTTCTTATGCAAGTATTCTGTGATGTATTGTATTCAATACAGATGCTAAGATGCTGACTAAACTATATTTGAGCAGTTTTGCACTGCTGTTAACACATTTTATGCATACGTTTACAGATTTTTTCCAATGGAAAGTGGTTTCACTACTGGTACAGTATCAGCACCGAAGGGTTTATTCCAGCAAGCACTGTGGTTGAGTGACATCACCTCAATTTTTTATTATCCTTAAAATATTGCATTTTTCATATTCTTTATTTATAAAGGAACAATGCTGCTGTAAATACAGGTATTTTTAATTTTTTATTTCATTCCATCACCATGAGATGCAGTTCCCTATTTGTTTAAGGGGTATATAAGCTTTCTAATGGTGTCTTCAGAAATTTATAAAATGTAAATACTGATTTTGATGGTCCTTAAGATGTGTTTAACTGTGAGACTATTTAACTAATGGTGTGGATGTGATTTGTCATCCAGTATTAAGTTCTTAGTCACTGATTTTGTGTACAAAATAGGAAGGAGGGAAACTGCAGCTTTCGTTACAAACTTCTTGAATTTGCCAGCTCTCTGAGTTTTAGCAAACTCTAATTATGCCTCTGGATAGTACATCAAGCATTTCTCTCTGGCTTTAATTTGCTAAAGCTGTGCACATATGTAAAAAAATAGATTATTTTAGGGGAGATGTAGTTCTAGAATTATTGCTTATGTCATTTCTTAAGCAGTTATGCTCTTAATGCTTAAAAGAAGGCTAGCATTGTTTGCACAAAAAGTTGGTGATCCCCCCAAAAATAGTAATGAAATTACTTCTGTCCAGTAAACTTTGTATGTCATGTCAATTTATAATAAAAGCTGAAAAAATCCCTTTGTTTTCTATTTATAAAGATGCCTTTTCTATATGTACCTTTGATAGATTTTGAAGATACCATGTAAGCTGGTTAAAAAGAATTTGAATGGTACAGTAGATGTAAAAACAAAACCCCAAACGGAAAAAAAAAAAAAGTTCAGTTGTTTAAATGAACCATTGTTTTTACATTAAATGTTTTATTTGAAATCAGCTTTTGTACATGAAGTTCAGTAATATAAAATCTGCCATGATGGTTGTCCAGTCATTTTGTCACATGCAGAAAGGCCACAAGCAGCACCTGGTACAAACTTTCTCTTCTGCATGTCTCTTAAAATTTGGATAAGTGTTCTTCCTTTGCCAGGTTGTTACAAAGGTAGCTGAGTTTTTGTCAGTCTTTTTGTCAGATTTAAGGTGTCTCCGTAAATTACCAGGTTTTTAGACAGATTATAAGAAACTTCCATTCTCCTTTTTTGGGGGTAGAACTGAGAGATCTGTAAGGTGTGTATTACCATTTAGAACTGTAATTTATATAACTGAGAATGAAACGTATCACTTGTGATGTGTCAATTCTAAAAATAAGACTTGTGCATTTTTTTACATGTAAGGGGTTAAAGTTTCAGACATATTTTACAAGATAAGTTTATTTGGAGCAAGTTTAAATCACCGTCAAGTTTAAAATAGTGCTTCTCTGGGACTGCAGAGGATGCATACTGCAGGTAGTACAGAATAAAACCAGTAAGGAATTGCACTGCTTGGCCAAATAGTAACTGTTGAATAGCAGACACTGAAAACCTTTTTCCATGTTAGAAATAATTCAGATACTGAAATAATAGAGGCTATGACAGCTGGATTCTGTAAGCTTGACTTCAGACTGCAGTTGGCTGGAATGCTTTTGTCTCTAAAATTGGTCACGTTCTTCTAATCTAGGCTTTAAGGTGTTCCTGGCAGCTTTTAATGATGTTTGTATTTGCTGATCATCTTAACACAACAGGTCTATGAACCCCAAGTTGGAACCTAACATATGACTTGAATATTTAATTCAATGCATTAAATACTCTATTCAAAATTGTTAGATGAATTTTAGTTGTTTAACCTTAAGTGTACATTGCTTTGTGTGTGTCTTGAATGTAGCCCTTGAATTTTTTGGGGGTGGGGTAAAGATTCATTGCCTGGAATGAAGCAGTTGCAAATAATTTGAACTGTTCTGATTACTAGTTGCCAAAACAGAACCCCCAAACCAGCAATTTGATTTTACCTTTGAGAATGCAGGAGCCATTCTGTGAGGACAATTTTGACAATATTGTTCAAAGTTAAGTGTTTCTTAATTCACAGAACAGTGTGCTGCCCTTGTCGACCAGTGCTTGAACGAAGGTGTTCGTGTTGGACCAGATCCTGGTTAATCTGATACTGCACGGTTTCACAACTGAGAAAGCAAGAGCTTTGCATGAAGTGGGTAAGTCTGCCTTCCACGACTGGTACCTGTGGTTAAGCTGCTTGATGCAACTAAGAGACACACTGTTCAGGAGAAATACTCAGCATCTTGTCATGAAGAAAGTTCTTCACATGACTGGTGCATTTATCAGAGAAAGCGACCAAGTTGGTGACCTGACTGGTTTCACAAGTTATTTTTTTCCTTTGAAAGAGACCAAAGAAATGGAACGGGGTTCAGGTAAGGCAGAACCAAGGGAATAAGTAAAGCTGTGTTAGTTCAACATGGACTTTACTTGAAGGGAATTAAATATCTGTGCTGCTTGCTCAGTAATGGTGGCTGAAAACTATTAGTTGCATCATTTAATGCAATGGTAAAGAACAGTAAAATAGAGACAAATCAGCTGTGATGGAATATTGAAGAAAGTAGTTTACAGATGCTGTAACTAATCTTTAAAAAAGGAGGGAAACTATTGTTTCTGTACGAGATGTCAGTTAAGATCTGAACTTCAGGTGGAAATAAAGGTAAGTGCACAAGTGAGAAACCTGAAAAAAAATTGTTTGGGACTCCTGATTAAAAAAAAAAAGACATTAAAAAAACCTCTTAAAGATGGCTGCAGTGCTATAGAATGTTTTCTTATGTTCTCATTAGAATGCACTGATGCTTAGCTTTATGCCCCAATAAATAATTCACTAGACCATACACAGTTGAGGGATAAAACTTTATTTTAAAAAATTCAATTTTCACTTGACATGTAAGTCTCAGTTGAGGTAAGTGAATGTACTAGCTTAAGAAAACAACTTTTGGGATTGGATTTCATAAGCAGTTATCACACTGTTGCTTACAAGGCTCCAACAGCTAGAGGAGAAATACTGGAAGTGTCAAGTTTTCTATCTAGCTGACCTCCACTGTGGAAGACCAGAATTGCAGCCTTTTTAATTCAAGCCTCTTCTGATTCTTCGTGTACTTTGTTACTTCATTACTTGGGTCTCTTGCCCTGAGACTCTTTGCACCTCCCAGGTCTAAAAGGTGCAGCTCTAAGAGGTGGCTGAACAGTACCTAATTTGCAAATTGGACAGCTAGGCTTATGCCAAGTTTAAAAAACAAAAACAAAACCCCAAAACAGGGGCAAGCTGCCCTTGTTCAACATACAGCTAAAGACTGAAGTCAGAAAAACGATTTCTTCTTTTGCCATCCTCAGCTCTCAAGGGGAGCAGTAGGGGCCTCCCACAGCCCTTCACAGTCATCTTAAGCTGCTTTGTACATGTATTCTGAACAAACCTGACACGGCATCACCATCTCTGGAAGTACCTGAATTCAAGGCTTAAGCTTTATTTTCTAATATACAAGTAAATATCCTGCAGATCAATAATCTGATTAGCCCCTCCAAAAGCAGATGAAAAGGTACCTGACCTTGTCGGTACCTCAAAACTGTGGATACCCACAATTCTAGTTTCCATATGGTAAAAGTACTAAGTTACAACTAGTACCTGACACCTGACAGGCGTAAGTAAAATTACCAGCGCTACTCAATGGAACAACATGTAAGTCGGCTGCTAGCTGGAGTGCCAGCCTGACTCTACTGTTTGATCATCTACTGAACCTTCTTGGCTACAGGCTGGGAACCATATTTTAAAAGTATTGAAAATATTTCACAGGAACACTGGAAATACAGCATATGCTAGGCTTCTCTTACTCCCTAACAGTGAAATAGTTAAGCTTGAAAAACTGAGAACACTGCAGGCTTTTTCTTGCTAACACTGGATAATCTTACCTGCAGGTGTCCAGTCTTCCTCACTTCATGTCTTAAATTCCAGCCTAACTGCCCTGTGCAAGTTCCTCCTGTCCATCTGAATCTACTCCGTATTTTTTTTCTTAAATGGTACAAATACCAACAGCCATTCTCTTCTGAAATTCTTGTACCCCTGCTACAGATGCCGGGGGGGGAAAGGCAGGCAGGATGACTAATCTTGTACTGACAATGTGAGTATGGGGGATATTAATCCAATTTAAGCTTTTTATGCTAGCATAGAGGGCTAGTGTAGCACATTGACACTGAAGGAAAAAGGGGCCAGGATGATTGTCTAGGTTTTATAAAAATATTGCTATTCTAACATGCTAAACTATGTTTCATTTTGATTGAATTTGAGGTAAGATGGCCCTCAGTGAGCATTAATTTAAAATATTCTTTAAATCCAGTAGTATTGCAATCTTCTGACCAGGCATAGGCTCTCTTTGATATGCTTATTGAAAATCTTAGGCCCTCCTTAGGGAAAATAGTGAATTCAAAGTCAATTAATTCATAATAATTTCTTATCCCACCTTACTACATGGAGGAGAGCTAAATTACCACCATCTGCTCCATTTTGACTGCCCCAGGTTAACTCTGTGCTGGTGGGATCTGCCTTAAGTGTGTCCCCAGTGCTCTGACAATAAACCTGCACTATTGCACAGGAATGTACGGTATTCCCGGGTAGCCATCTGGGATTTCCATCAGGAATCTCTGTTGTTGGACAATAGAAAGAAGGTTGTCTTTAAGTCTTAGAAGGGCTCTGCAAGGAATCATGGCCACCAATCTGCATGTCATGCCTACATACTAAATTGCTAAGCCTTGCTCTGACATAAGCTACACAGTAAACTGTAACTAGGGAAGGCAGATAAGGATAACCATCCTCCTCTAGGTCTTGGTCTAGTTTGAGGCAAGCAGCCACATTAAGTTGATGTAGGCATCAACACAGAAAACAGTTCTAGAAACATCTGGAAATAAGGCACTTAAGTGAAACACATGGCTACATCTCTAAACAGACATTATGGCTCAGACATCCTGGCTCTGGAGGAATGAACAGTACCGTGCATGGAAGAAAGGGCTGGTGCATGCAGAACCCACTATCCATTCATACTATTAAGGCAGCATCGTGTACAAGGAAGCATAGCGGGACATCACTGCTCTAAATACTTTGCTCTTTTGAGTGGTATAAATAAAACTTTGGTCCGTTACTGCCCCTCCACCCCCCTAAACGTTTACAGGCTTATTTCACAGAACAGCAGCATTAAGCAAAGTTAATTCTACACAACACGCGTACCCTGAGACTAGAGTACAATGAAATACTGACAAAAATCAAGTCTGGAGGAAAAAAGGAAAAGGTCTTATGGATTGCTTAAATTAATTTGCCTATGCAAATGCCTGTTTCTAACTTTTTCCAGAGTAACAAATCCAATGTTTCACAATTATTTTTTTAAATGAATCCAGTAGAAGTACAATATAATGGAGTTCAAGTAGTATAAAGACAGGTTTTTGTTGTTAACAGTGTTGGTGTCAAACAGCTGGAAACCCGGGTTTGAACATTACACTTTATAGCAAGAACAAAAATCCCAGTACTCACTGCTAAAACACCAAAACTTTCCAGCCTGGGTATGAAAATGAACATCCAAAATACAAAGACACACAGCATTGGTCAAGTACCCAGTCAAAGACCACCTCTCTGTTGTTAGAGCTAATGGTTACTCGAAGCTTGAAGTTTCCTCCCTCATTGCTGGAAGACCCTATCTGCACAACTTCCATGTCAAATGTCACAGTCGATCCAGAAGTAACAGCAGGCAGCTGGTTTGTCATCTCTTTTCCATTTACAAATACTGCCCCTGAAACAGTCAAGATACCAAACATTGTTACTCACTTTCTGTACATACTAACATGCAATACTGTATCTCCTGACTTTTTACAGGCACATAGAAGCGGAAAGCAGCCCTGCTGCATTCCTTTTTGTCACGCCAGACTGCAATAACTGCAAGCAGAAAAAGGAGATCAGTGATCTCACCAAAGATTTTTAACTGCACAACCAGTACGTACATAAAAGGTGGATGAAGTTGCTCATATGTGATCCAGGGATATAAAGAACCAGGGACTATGCATTTGGGGGGGGGGGAAATCACATCTTCAGTTATGTGATTCAGACTCACCGTTTGTGCTAATGCACACAGCTTTATCCCGCTGCAATGAATCATAGCCATTCTGCTGCTCCACACACACTCCTAGGCTGTCTCGTCTGTCTGGCTGTCCCACGGTTTCAATTCTACCAAGCAAAAAGTTAAGTCAAACCCTGAAGCTTTAAATCAAAACATACAATGAAATCCAGACCTCTGTACTGTGCTGTAATACCCTGTCACACCAGAGCTCTGTACTGTGCTCCAGGGCTTTCAACAAGTTCATCCAGCCTTTGGGGGAGATCCTTGTTGAATGACCAGAAGTCCTACCAGCTTTCCCAGCAGCTCCACTGAGCAATGATATAACTATTTATCTGTACAAAAAATAAATCTGCTTCCTGCAAGCCTTCACTGCTATTTAGTAAAATTCTCCACTGTCACAGCTTCAGAGTGTTTTGAAATGATTTCCAGTTGTCTGAAACAAGCAATATGCACAAAACTACAATCATCTATACCAGATTACTAGCCAACATCATTTACTATGGCGAGACAGCTGTAGTTTCAGCAAATATTTAAGAAGCATGACTAACACAGCCGTTTTTTGAGCCCTGCTCTATTCTGCTGTAAAGGGGTAGGTTGTTGGGTTTGGTGGTGTGTGGGGGTTTTGTTTGTTTTGCCTTTTTTTAATCAGCTTGGTGCAAGTGTGTATTAAAAATAATGCCTAAAAGAGCATTTACAAGTCTGGCTTCTGCTCAGCTGCATTTAGCATTTTTGGTCCTGGGAAAGAATCTCCAAAGAAAAAGCAAACAAGTTGTGCAAACGACCTGGGATGCAGTTCCCTTTGGGCCCTCGCAGCTGAGCGAGGCTGCACAGTTTGTACACTGAAGGGCCCTTCTGTATTTGAGTCCTTTCTGTTGTACTGCCTTCTCTCAAAAGTGCTAAATCATGCTTTAGAGAGAGCCTGAGTGACTCCAGAAACTCAGATGGTCTTTTCTAGAAAGTAAAACAGCGGTTATTTTCATTACAGCTTGAGAGAAAGAACAGCACTGATACGTGAGTCTTGACGAAAAACTTCAGCAGAAGCTTTTAAGAACAAAATTAAACTGTGCAATAGACTGGCACACAATGGGTTAACTCTTTCAAGACAAACAGGGAAGATGATAAAATTGGAACCATGTTTTACTTTTGCACTCCATTAGGTTTTTCAGGCCCCTGGGAATGTCACTAAGATAGAAAAACCCTTGTGCTGTAAAGCAAAGCAACAACAAAAAAATTAAATATCCAAGCAGCTTTTAATTTGAAAGTGCTCCACAATATTTTCCAAAACAACTTTAAATGAGATTTCAAATTCGTTTGCTACCCTACTTTAGATTTTAAACTCTGCCTGAGTTACTGGTGAAGCTTTATAAGCAGCTATTTATCAGTAAACTTAACCACAAAGGCTTTACCTCTCAATTCATGCCATCCTAGTTAAAGCAGCCCTTCCTGAGTTGGGAGTGTTTGTACAGTCACAAGAATGACCAAAAATGCATAATTATAAACCCATTAAAGAGTAGGAATTCTATTGTGTCAGTCTGCATCCACACTTACTTGCTCATTTATACAGACCCCTTTTGCAGAGCACTGGCACAGTAACCTGGACCAGCAGCAGCAAGAAGAAAAAAAACCACCAAACAAGTAACAGGGCAGTGAATACTCTGAGGGAGGAGTGACGGCACGCCCAGAGTGGGAGCATTTACACAGGAGTCAGTCTAGGACCAGTTTAACGTTTTGGGCTCAGCTCCCTCACTGAATCCAAGCTGAGGCCACGTTTTTGTCATGCACTTCTGCATTCACCACACCCAGGCTTCCCAGCATCAGGGCTACCCTCCCTACACCGCTGCCCTCACTCCAAGAGAGCAGACTGGGCTGCACGCTAGCACAAAGTGGGAAAGAGCCAAACCTTCCTTACACCATAAAGAAGAAGCACAACCCAAGAGCCCAAGACACCAGCCAACCCAGAATTCTGCAGTAGCTGTCGTCCTCTTGCACGCATAGGAAAGAGGAGCAGGATCTGGTATAGATCACCATGCTCCTCCTTACTGGGTTTTGAGTTCTCAGCAAATAAATAACCAGCCCAAGACAAAGAGCCCAAGTACAACACAGAGCATCACCGCACAATCTTCTAGGCTTTGCCTTACTAGGCTGATTTTTTCCTATCACATTACAAAGTTATTCTCCAGCCTCTGTGGTTCCTGGGACTTAAAATTTTTCGAAGCCCACAGAATACGTGGTAGGAGCAACGCTCCGTGGGACAGTTTGAATCCTTTCTCACCACTTCCAAGGCTGCAGAGCAAAACCTTGCCGCTGTCACTGCAGTGCATAGACACTGAACCAGTTCAACCACCACCAGTTTCCATTTGTTTCAGAGCACAGAGAAGTAAATCTGTGGGTGATCAGACGTGCTTCCTTTGTGTCAGCTGTCAGTAGAGCTGTGGCAGGCTCCTGACAAAGTCAGCACGATCTTCATAGATCAAGTCACCAGCCTGGCCAGACTGGCTGTGGCTCCCCACTGCAAGCAAAAGCTTTAGAGACAGCTGCAGAGCAGGTCACTCTGGAGAAATGTTCCCTTTCCTAAGGGCAGTTCCCTGAAAGCTGCAAAGAAACAGGATGAGTCTTGACTCATCTCAAAGGATAACTGAAGCAGTCTATCTAAAAAGCAGACACAAAGCATTGTGTTTATCACAGCTTCACTTTTCACTGATGAGGTATTCCTTGTCCTGAACACACAAGAATACAAAGCTGCCTCACAAACATCTGTAACATGAACCTTGCCTATTTGGTTTGCTCCACAAGCCACTAACCCCTTGTGAATACACTTGTGTTTCAACAGATGGAGGAAGCCAAGCGCCAAGTACTACATTTCCCTGCTGAGGAAAATCGCACACACTTTCAAACAAGAAGCTACTCTTGGACCTTGGAAGAGGAACACAACCAATTTTTGAGGTCATCTTCAATCTCAAGATTTGTGTCATTATAGTTCTTGTGGACACGTGCTTGTTAGTGCTCTGCCATCCTGGAACAATCCCCTCTTGGAGAGGAGTCCACAGTACCAAAATGTAAAGCAAAAGATTTTCACGTGCTACCAATAAAAAAAGATAAAATGCATTGGTCTGAAAGAGAACCAAGAGAAACCTCAAAGTTCTGCCTTTAATTTCACAGGCATTTCTGAGCCAAGAGACGTTAAACCTAGCAACAGATTTCAAATGAAAGCTTTAGATCCTTTTATCCCATCTCAGACAGGGCAACCGAATATGTCCTCATACTACTACCACCTAAAGTTTACTCATTACCAGGAAGGGAGAAATGAAACACCATGGAGTAAGTTAGAAAAGTATCATGAACAGCCCCCTTAAATTGCCCTTGGGGGTGGCCTGCTGTACAGGAAGTAGTTTTATTTAACCAGGGAAAGATGGAATAAAGTTTCAGAGTCTGAGGTCTGTAATTACAACTGACATATCCACAAGGAAGTTCCTCATATCCCGTTAAACAGCATCATCTCAGGGACAGGACTATAGGCAGCAAACCTGCCAAGGATTTTAATCACATTCTGTGTCAAATGGAAAGCTTGAGTTTCACAAGATTCCTTCTCCACTCAGGATTTTCTAATGCCAGTTTCAAGCAGTAGGCTCAGCACTCACTATCTCTGGTGTAAAGACATCACTGCCAGACTGTCACCCTGACCTGCCCCAACAGCACATATAAAGCTTTCACATCCAAAGTCATTTAAGCATGTGGGCAGTCTGGGAAGGAAAGCACCCACTGACCCACGGTTAAAAAGAATCAATGGCAAGCCTCTGCTGGCTTCTCACCAGACAGGAAAACTCAGGGAAGTTCAACATTGCACAGATTTGCTCAGCACGGGCTGTGTTTTCCCACCCCCCAGGAGTTCACTCTTGTCTCTGACAGGCGCAGGTCCTACAAAACATCAGGTGTTTTCCTAAAGAGCCAGGAAGCAGAAGCAGAGAGAAGGAAGTTCAGACTTCGCACAGACACACTACCCTGACTGGGGCTGAGCTGATGTAAAACTCCAACGTGCCTCACGACTCAGGTTTACATGCAGGTCAGATGTAACAGACTAGAGAAGGAGCTTAGCTCATGGGAGATGCGCCAGACAACAGCTACCCAGAAAGTACTTGCCTGAATGTTAATGTCTGCCCACAGAAATAAGTAGGAGCTTTGGAGTAGAGCACACCGCATGACTGAGAATCATTTCGAAGTGCTATGTTTCTTCGACTGCTCAAGCTGTAACCCTCCAAACCAGCTGTCCATTCTTCAGAGAGAAAAAAAAAAAAAAAAAAAAAAAAAGCAGCGTGAAAAGCACAAACCTCAACTCGAGTAGCTACTGTCTGTGCAAAATCAAATCAGTCGCAATGTCCACTCAGTTTACCTCATATGAAGCTTAAGCTATGCTAAGAACAGGGGCTGGGTTTGCCTTCCTCCAATGGAGAGATTTCTTTTTCAAGTAATTTGCAATTACAAAAAGTATTTCCCAGCTCACAAAGTTCACCAAAAGTTCACTCTTTGCTGCAACCCCTGCAAAATCATATTGTAGGCAAAGGAAAACCTTCATTACCTACTGCCCTTAAAAATTTGCAAGTGAAGAAAAAATTTAGTTTTTTCTCTCTCCAAGGTAAGAGCTTTTTATGAGATTGCAGGTCATCAAAAAATGCTTAGGTAGGGGTGAGGGAGAAAAAAAAAAGCTTCACTTCTGGCTCACTGATGCTTTCCAACGCTAAGCAGTGAGCTACTTGCTGGAAAGACTCACTATCTATCACTCACACTACGAAGCAAAAAATAAATTGTAGGATGAAAGGCTAATTCATCATCCATTACACACATACATCATAGCTAAGGACACCTCATCATCACACAAAAAGCAGCTCCATAAGTCATTCAGCTACAGACCTTCAGGAGCGCTGCACTGATGACACGGGCTTAAGATGAACAGCAACAAAGCGTACCGTGGGGAACTAGCGTGGTACGGCCAATCTGAGGAACACTCCAGGGACTCCACTCCTGCCGTCCGTCTCCTCGGGCACAGACTCGGAACTGGTAATCAACATTAGGATCGATGTGCAGCACTATGAACTCTGTCTCTGAGCCGACATACACGTCCTCAAAGTGACTGGCAGTACTCTTACGATATTGCAGTCTGTAATCTTGTGGTATAAAGTCATCATCCACCTAGAGAAATACTTGTTACGTTAATAAAGGACCCCCTCTTTTTTTTTCCTTTTGTCTCTGAAGGGCACATAGTAGGGTAGTACTGCAGGCTGTCATCAAAGGCAATTCAGAGTCACAAGGTATTAAGGAGCAGAAAGCATGCCTTATAGAAAATGAAATCAGTGTCTGAACCCACTAATACAAAAAGAAGTATAAGAATGATTCCATTACAGTTTAAAACTATCTATAGGAGAAGAAACATTTAACAGAAACAGAAAGTTTTTCAATCTAGCAGACCCCCAACAAGATCCTGCAGCCAAAAGCCGAAGACAAATTTGCAGAAGAAATTCAGGGCCAATTTTTAACAGCAAGGGAATCTCACTGTTAGCCTTCATAAACTGTTCCAGGGAATGATTTCCGATTCCTTGATATCTCTAAGTCAAAAGAGATTCCTCCCCCCGCCCCAAAATGCTCCACTATCTCCCAAGCATGACCAAATTCATGGACCTCCTCTATAGCACAGAAAATCAGACCATATGTGACAACAGTGCCTATGGTTTTATAATCTGAGTCCACATCTTTACCAGGTAAGGGTGGCTGACCAATGGCTGGCTGTTGCTAGAACAACAAAAGTTTGTTTAATGCTGCCAAGGAGCGTAGAGCTGTCCAACAACAACTAAACCACATCAGAGCACAGCAGCGATTTACTCAAAAATAGTTTTTGTGTACTGAAGAGAAAGGCTACGTGACTAGCTGATGCCAGTATTAGAACATTTTCTCTTTCCATCCACTGCATCTCCCCAGGAACACAAAGATGTTTAGGCGTAAAAGCAGAACAGAACAGGTTCAGCCTCATCCTGGGTCTGCTAAAGCATCTTCAAAGGGAACAAAAGCATCACCCAGCACTGAAATCCAGCCTCACAGAGAGTGTTTGGCAGTTGTTGCCGCACAAACGAACCACTCTGTTCCACGGCACAAAATGGCTACGCGCAAACCACCTGTCAGAAACACACACCAGGATTTCTTGGTCCTGTTTGTACAACAGCACCACAAATCGATTACTCTCTACTATTTGTTTAGGGGGAAGAGTGATCAAGAAGGTGTTTCCTGCTTGTCCAGTACCTGGCACTTGCTCAAGCACGGGAAGCAGGGGTAGCAGTGTTTTCAGCTGCCCCTCCTGACTTCCCCACACACAGGGAAGGAGATTGTGAGGCAGAGGTGCATTAGTGTGTCAACCCTTTCTACCTGCAGATGGGAGCAGGTAGAGTCCAACAGCAAGAGTCTAACACACAAGCATCACTGCCAGTGCCAACCACAGTTATCTTGCCTTTAAATGACACCATTACCATAAAAATCTAAAGTTTCTAACTACACACCGGAGTGGACTATTCCTTTCTTTCAACAAAACCGAAGTCTGAATGATTTTCACCCAGGATAGTTTACCTACCTTACACCATCGGACTAAAATACCTCCAGGCTTCTCAACAAATTCCTCTAGCTGTACAGGTGGGCGAGATGCCACAGTTCCGTGTCTGAATATTTGATTTTTCAATATAGTTAGAAGGCAGTCATCCAACTGGGCAGATAAACAAGGCACATCAACCAAGGAGGGCACTTCTGGTAAGCTGAGAAAGGAAAGTTTACTGTAATGAAAGGGGCCAGCTTCTAAAAATTCATGTTTTGTCCATACACTCAAATCTGTGCAGATTTGCAAAGAGAGAACAGCTGCAGAAATTGGCATGTGCATTTTGAACTTAAAAGACTCAGAAAATATTGTGTTTCAGCCCTAACCAGACTGTCTGTTTCTCAGTAAATACTCTGAAATACAGGCTGTTCCACAAGGAGTGGTTTCATCGTTCACAAATAAACAGCCTATATTTCTACAGAACATATGGAGGTTGAAAACTACTCCACTCCATGACTGCCAGCCCCAATGAAAGTCTATGAAACAAACAAGACAGTAAAACCTCAAACGAATCTTTTAAGGCAATGGAGCAGAAGGCTTTTGTTTCAAAGGAGAAAAGATCCCCTACACAAGAAAAGCGCACGTGCCGCTGCCTCAGATCACCTCAGCGTGTCAGTATCTTACCTATCTAGCTGAATATGTAAAGCTTTTTTTGTAAAGCTGCAAAGTTTCTCATTCTGTTGTCCCACATCTCCATGGACTGCACTCTCTCCTGGAATCAAATGGTAAAAATATTCCTAATGAGAAAATGTCCAAGAAAGGCATTCTTTGCTTCAAAGTATAACCAGTTCTGACATGAACACCAATTAAACGTGAAGCATGCTCAGCACTTTTGCTAGACTCTTAGCTAGAAAACACAATTATAGTTAACAATATAAAGCCTATCTAGCAACTTTTGAAGCTCTCAAAGCTTCCTGTAGGCACACCCACAACAGATGTAATAATGTGCCTCAGGTCTCAGACAGTAGCAGAACTGGGGCCAGATGCCAGAAATCAGGATTATTAATCCCTTCCTCCACCTGCTTTAAAGGGCAAAAAAAGCAAAGCACCTTGACTGAACAGAAGATAAAAAAGCAGGAGCTTAAAAGCAAAAAATAATTTCCACCATTGTTCTGTATGCTACAATCTAAATGATAACTATTGTCATAATGAAGGAAATAAGCCATGCATTAAAGTGTGGCGAAAAATAGAAGTCTTTTTATGAGCTGTCCATATAAAGCAGCGTCCCACACTTCAGCTTACAAAGATGTATGCTCCATTCTCCTATCTGATGACTTTATAGTAATTTACCACATTAGCAAGCTCAGTCCTTTTCCAAATGGAGGATTACAAACGTAACAAATCTCTACAGAAAAGCATACGTCATAATTGGCAGCAGGAGATTTAATAACCACAGAGGCTTAACTCCTTTCTGACTCAGATGCAACATCTGCTTATTCTGTCAACACGACTTAGCAATGCTTCTACTGCTACAGAGGGAACGGTGACCCACAGGATAGGAAGTGCTCGGCTTGTCAGGTTCTCACGAGAGCTGATAGAAACTCGTATAGAACATGGGCCATATCTGCCAGCACCCTGTGGTTCAGCAACTTGAGACACAAAATAAAAACAAGGTGACTACTAGCTGTCCCAGAGGTTGCAGTGCTAGAAAAAAACCACCCAACAAATTAGTTCTTAAATATTGTCACTACTCCTGTGAGCAGGAGGCATAGGGCCACCAAGCCAGCCCGCTCTTCAAGCGCAGAGCCCAGGTCTGCGTGGGAGCTGGTACAGTTCCTACCCGGGGGAGACTGCTCAATGCACTCGAGTTCACAAAACGGAGATCATGTTGAAAGAAAGTTAAAGTTGAGACATGAGAACAATGCAAGGAAACTGCCAACATACTCATGGCTCAGACATGCTCCCAGTAGGTTCCCCAGTGTGGGGAAAACAGTCAAGAGTGACATTCCTTTCTGGCTAGGTATTTAGCATCAGCAGGGTACAAATGGGCCCTTACAGTAGCCATTTTTGTCTGCCTCTTCCTCAGACTTTTTAGAGAATTTTTTCCCATACAGTGGCCATTTCATTCCCATGTTCCCCATCAACAGTGAACATAATCACACTTAGCAGGAAAGATAATCCACTTACTTCAGCTGCTATTCCACTAAGACACAAACAACTTCCTTCAACCAACAGAGACATTCTGTCATTATGTTAAGATGCATTTTATTTCAAAGTAGCCTGACATAACCCTCTTTCTAGCATGGAAGGGCACAGAACATCTCACATACAGCGAGACATTTCCAAAGTAGGTACTTCCCACCCTTACGGAGAGGCTACACTGATACATGTACCCGCTTGGATCAGAGTGAAATATTTAAATACGGATTTGTAGGAGATAATAGCGATCAGCTCTTCACTGCATCTACCCAGCTTTAACCTTTTCTTAATGCTGATTTGAAAGAAGTCCAAAATGAGCCACATATGCTGATTGTAACAGTCTTCAAGAGGACACACTGGAAGGTGGAGCCAAGACTAATTAGTATTGGGTCCTGCCTTACCTTCCTGGAGCAGCTCATTGGCCGTACTGACTCCATGCTCTATTAGCTTCTGGCATTCATCCAAGGGTTTGATGCTCTCTTGTTCTATAGCATCCACTTCCTGCAGCAGTGAAGTCAGTCGCTCATCCAACAGCTTCTTTAGGGTCCCTTTTAAATCATTAAAGTGTTGCTCAAGTACATCTCTGGTCAAGGTTGCACTTTCTCTGATCTAAATTCAGGTAACAGGAAAGAAGGATTCAGGATAAAGGCAAAGGCCATGTACATCTTTCATTTTTCAGGACCACCTCATCTGCATCTGCTGGAGAAGAGCTGCATGTAAAGTCACCTTCAAAAATAAGGACCACTGGCAAGTAACAAACTCGTGTAGTTGTTTTTAGTACATGTACAGCAGGGAAGGAGGCAAAGAAACTAGCCTGGACAAGGGGAAGAGCATATTAATTAGGCAAACTGGGTTACCTGCACTTCAATCAAGGAATCTTTCTTGTCAGAAAAGCCCAAATGCTCTGTAGATCTTTCTCCTGCTGCCCCTCAGAACTGCTGTAATCCTGTTCAAAAAACACTCTGCCATCATATACAGGTAATCCCCATTGAAAAGAAAAAAGGTATCTAGCTTTTAGAAGCCCATCTAGAAGCCCTATCACTTCACTGGATTTTTAAAATCCTCATAAAGCTGCTTTCTTTTCCATTTTTCTTCAAATAACCACCTTTGATTGGTCTGTACTCCAGGGTTACAGGGCAGAGTGAACAGCAAGTCTGTTTTGATTCTAGAAGAACTAGACCACAGGCAGTTCTACAAATGCTTATTAAAATGTTTGCAAACTTGCTGAATCTAACTTTCAGGGAAGAAAACTCATTTGAACACCCCTGAGCTAAAGATGCAAAAGTCAGAAGTAAACATCTCCCTATGAACATCTTTTATAAGTCACACACACAAGGAAATGCTGCAATATGCACATGGCCTTACACATAATTTCTAGATCTTTAGAAGTACAGGCAACCAACACAGGAAGCTCTCTGGTTAGGTAAAATAAATTTCCTCTTCAAGTAATATTCATGAACGTCTGCAGCTGCCACACAGCTCGGTTTCCCTCCTCTTGTTATTTCAACGCTTGAGAAAAAAAAAGGAAGTATGTAGCTTCGTGAAGGGGTGGGGCGGAGGAAGACCAAGCAGGCACTTCTCTGAGCCCATTACCTCCATTACATGCAGATACGAGTCCAACAAGTCAGCCGCAGAACTACAGGCACTACCAGCTACACAGAAGAGGAAACGCAAGTCCCTGAGCGTACAGAGCTGCATTAAGTTTGTTGAAAATCACGTCCCATTGGTCCGAAAGAAAAGGATGCAACAAAAGTGCTTTTTCCTATCACATCGGCCCACCAGTCCCCAGTTCATAAAGCTTCTGCTATCTGAACCCCAGTCTAAGACAGGCAGCGCTACTGGACACTGGGAATTCTTGGATGTGTGTTGCATGGCTGATTCTTTGTGGACAAATTAGCATGTGGCCCTGAAGATGGGAAGAGAGAAAACAGAAACATGCATACAAGCAAAGAAATTCTGCCAGAGAGGAAAACGAAAGAAAGGCAAGCTAACCAAGCACTCTTGGCCACTGCAGAAAGGCAGACTGGCTCCCTCTCAATGCATTTTGCGTTATCAGGCCACACTCTGAGATGACAAGGCTTGGATTAAAAACATTCATGATCAATTAATTTCCTTAAGTAGCTTGCGGTTTTGAAGATGACTAACTTAAGGTATAGTGACCGCCCACATTCACTCAGCAGCAGGACACTAACCCAGCAAATTTATAGCAGATTTCTATGCTAATGGAATCTGCTTCAGAAAAATTATCAGGTCACCACAGAAACATTTTCTGAGTTTGTTTGGTGTGCTGTTTACTTTTTTTAACTTACTCCTTGCAGAGCTGAATCAAAGATAGTAAGGCCTTCGTTCTAGTCTGCAAAAACTAAAATGCTTAGAGGATGTCTTAGCAGAGAAGCCAGTCCTTCATGGGCTCTCTGCAATCTCCCTACACACATCACATATCTTATTGGGCATCTTCAGCACAGAGCGGGTGGGTTACTACTAGTCCAAACGAAAGCTCTCCTCTGGCTCCAGTGCACAGCCGCAGAAAAACCAGCTACCCTGGAATGTTGGCGACATTTGTTTGTGACCCACAGAGTACGTGACCCACGGGGTTCGGTGCATGGGGACAGCAGAGTTCATGATAGCGACCAAACTAGAGCATAACTCGCCTAGGCAGATACCTCCGGGATGCGAGGGGAAGGAGACAGGCATGATCCTCCCTATAAAATAAGACTCAGCATCCCAGCTACTTTAGAACTCCTTTAGACATCTTTACTCTTGCCTTGGAGACCTCCCCGTCATCCCAGAAAATCGGGCTCAGTTCAGTCACAGACTCGCACCCTTTCCTTCCCGACACCTCCTGCACCCACCCACTCCCAAGCCCTCCCCCTCCGG